TGATTGACTATACAAGTAAAATCAAATGAAAAAAAAAACTCGATAGGATATATTCAGCAATCATTCAAAATAAGACAATACCAAAAACTGATTAGGATTACGGAAAGATAACATGACTAAATAGACACTAAACTAAAAATAAACTCTCAATCTATGCTGGAGTATCCCTACAAAATGTATTTCTCAAAGGAATATTTCAAAATTCATAGCTTAAACTCAAGATATTTCCATTTCATAAAACACAGATATAAAGAAAACAAATATACCACATTACTCATCTCATATGTGTCATGCAAGCATGCACAAAACATTACAATTCCTAGTATTCTTAAGTTAATTATATGTTATTTGAGATTAAATAGTAATTAGGTCAATTCAAGGTGGATGATAAAAATCACAATCTAGAAATCTAACAGACTTCTAGTAAACTCATCGAAATGGCCAAAACAAATCTCACATCTAAAAAAAGTTCATGTTATTACTTATTTTTCCCATTTAGAAATCCAACATTTTATATCAACTCATTTTAAGGCGATTACATATGATGTTGTGTAATATTAGCTTTTCTATATTACACGACTAAATATTAAATGAGAAATTCAAAACACAAAAGTATGGAGGTTATAATTCCCCATACGCACACTATGCACACCATCACTCAATACTAAACAAGAAATACAAAATTCTAAGAGTTCAGAAAATTAGGTTTTAACTATCTTGTGATATCATCTCTTTTGAACGTATCATATCCACAAACTCGTAGCGAACAAGTTTGTACCTCTTGCGCTCATCATCATCTCAGCTAAAGCTTACTACATTAATCAAGATAAATGTCTGATATTTAAACTCCTAATTCCCTTGGGTTGCATGTTTAATCCAAAAGGATATGGTTAATATCATCCACAATTGAACCATTATCTTAAGAATAATCATAGCATATTGCCCACATTATTAAAACATTGATCTCATAGTGGTAATAACTCCGTATAGAGTTTGAGCTGAAGATTCCAATTTGAGAATCGTATTTCATCAAATTTTGGTTCAACCGGATAAATATGAAAAAAAGGTCAAAATTACCAAATAATCACATGAACGCTTTCTAATCTCACTAGCAGAACTGTTCACAAAGTTTCAACATCAAAACAAGTCATTCGGAAAAGTTACA